CTGTGGCAAGATGGTGGAGTAGGCAGATGTGCTGAGCAGATCCTCTACAACAAAGATGCGGGACACCAAGTGGAACAGAAAAGGATGATGACTCTGGAGCCCTGAGCTTCACAGGAAAGGGTAGAAAAGCAGATTGAATGTTGATTTGGAGAGGAAGCTGAGCAGGAGCAGTGACGAGGAGAGAGAGGGGTGGGCTGTGCCGTGAGGTCGTCTTGAGCTTTGGCGGGTGCTTCTTCATCCTCACAGTTACCTGGAGACAGAGAACTCTGTGCTGGCAGTTGGTGGTGAAGAAGGTATAGGTCTCTATTGGACCTTCCTGGTGACTGGGGAGTGACCAGCACCCTCCCTCCACCACCCCAGTGATCAGTGGCACCTTCTCCTGTTAAGCCTTTGCTGGAGTTGGGTGCTAAGAGTACCACTTCCTGTCAGGAGACTCTTGAATTTTGCTTCATTTTATTGCTGTTGTCTGTTTTGGGGAGACAGCAATTGTGTCCATATCACTCAGCAACATCCATGTCTTCTGGGACTCCACTCACTGGGTAAGAACCCCACTTCCCACTCCTGTACCACCTGATCTATGATAATTAGCAGCCAGCATCAGACACACCACCCTGAACTAAGCTACACAAACAGTGAACAGAGGGCTGCGTATATACTTCTAATTTTTATCACATCCATCAGGAGACAGGTAATGTGCATGCAATCAGCAATTAAATATAAATACAATGATACCACAATGTCTTGGGGATAACAGATAATTTCAGCTTACTTGAAGAAACAAGTGACCAAAATATAGAGTCAGAAAATACAATGCCAGAAATGGTAGCAGAACTACCTCATAAGTAATTCAAAAGAATGATATTTAAGTACCTTTGACAGATTGAGAGAATGTTCGAGAAAGCTGCAGATGGAAGCAAGGAGAACACAGAAAAATAATTATAGGAACTCAGAAAAACATTACAAGAATAAACTGACAAATAAATGAAAAAATTAGAAATCATACTAAAACAGCAAGTGGAAACCCATCAGATTAATATTAAGATTTCAAAAATAGATAATACATTGAAAGGGCAAAAAAGTATAATTGAATGAATGAAAGTTCAAATCAGCAGCAAGATAAATCTCTAATATTCATTTGCTGGAGGAGCAATCAGAAAAAAGAACAAAAAACTATGAAGAAAGTCTAAGAATTATGTGGGACACCGTCAAGAGGAATAACTTACGCATGATCAGAATCCAAAACAAGAAAAGATGAAAGAAAGAAAGAAAATTGTTGAAGAGTTGAAGGAAAACTTCCTTAACATCATGAAAGATGAGAAGATATGCGTTCAAGGAGCTGAATGAACTCCAAACACACTAGACCCCAAAAGAAAATCAACAAGACACATTATAATCAAACTTTTAAAAACCAAAGACAATGAAAGAATCCTGAAAGTAGCTTGGGAAAAACAAAGTTACCTTAAAGTAGAACTAATAGGATCAGTACTGAACTGTGAACCACAAGATTGGCAGTTCAAATTCACCAGTCACTCTTTGGAAGCTCTATATATGGTCACTTTGAGTCGGAACCGATGGTACTTAACTACAGACAACAGCAAGACTAAGCTCTGACTTCTCAGCAGAAATCATACAAGAAGACAATTTGTTGTTGTGCTGTTAAGTTCTGTTGGATTGGTTCCGACTCACAGCTACCCTGTATAGGGTTTTCAAAGAGTGACTGGTGGATTTGAATCGCCAACCTTGTGGTTCAAACTGACCTTGCGGTTTAGTGCATTATCCTGCAGTGTTACACCAGGATGACATATGTAAAACTGTGAAAGAGAAAAAAAAAAAAAAAGACCAAGAATCATATGTCAGGTGCTGTTGAGACCACTCCGACTCATAGTGACCCCATGCACAACACAGGGAAACACTGCCTGACCTCACAATTGTTGTTTGAGCCCATTGCAGCTGCCACTGTGTCTATTCATCTTCCTCTTTTTCCTTGACCCTCCACTTCACCAAGCATGATGTCCTTCTCCAGGGACTGGTCCCTCCTGAAGACATGCTTGAAGTCTGAGAGATGAAGTTTTGGCTTCTAAGGAGCATTGTGGCTGTACTTCCAACACAAATTTGTTTGTTCTACTGGTAGTCCATAGT